CCCCCCCCCACTGTCTTCCCCAGGAAAACATGATGCAAAGCAACTGCTGCTGAGACAGGGGTTCCCGATGTTTTAATGTGGAAACAGAGGTACTTTCTCAAATCTTCAAAGAAAGTACTTTCTTAAGCCATCTAGTTATCCCATGACAAAACAGAATTTAGCGTTATTAGAGTTATTCTGCATCCATAAACACACCTCCACAATAAAGAGAGCATTTCGTGCTGCATTAACATTAACAAAAACTCAACCATGTGGCGAGCTGACAATCAACCAGGTACTTAAAGTACTGCCAGCATACCACCCAAGAAGGGCGTCTTGTTACAAGAAGGCCTTTTGACTAGTTTCCACCATAATTTAATATATCAAAAGATTTACCTTTCCTAAAGAATGTGAGCGGTGCTGAAAGCTGCCAATTATTGGCTTAAAGCAATCACAAACCCACCACCGCACAGTTCCCTGTGTTCTTAGTTGGAAAGGACTAAGTAAACCACGGCGTGACTGTGTATTGTATTCCTGGTGCACAAGGACTTGAATAATTAAGGTTGAAAATTGAAAATCTAATAACCTCTGATGAAGGAGGATTGTTCGGATCATACATGAAGAGCTTCTGGCCATTCGGGTGACAGCCCACCCAGATGTCCCCCGAGGAAGGGTCGATAGATAAATTATCCACCAGCGTATCCACCTTGAGGACCTTCCAAATGAAAAAATGTCAGTAGCTTAATGACACAAGAGAAGGGACCAAATAATTTAGGGCTAACCTTTGCTGCCTCTGCATGTGGGGGAAACTGCACACATCTCATCTCGCTCACCTTTCTAGCACCAATATTGCTTAAAATAAAATTAATATGCTGGTTTGGAGCCGCTTGCCATCTTCCCTCAAGTTAAAGAGGCCAGGGTGATAATCAATCTAAGTAAATCTCTCTTAAAAGATGCACAAAACAAGGGACTCAATCAAACCAAGATCGGAAATTATGAGTCAAACTAAAATATGTGTTGTCAAGCAGGAAGAAAATAATAATGGTGTGGAACTCAATTTCTCCCTTCATTTATTATTGAAAGAACTGTAGCAACACACATAAGTCTTCATTTGAAAATTCATTTTTGGTTTTTTTCAACTGTGTAAATTCATCTCTTGCCACTCGTATGTCATAGAATGGGTCCTAAATCTGATGCATAGATCAATCCACCCACTGCGACATGTAATCATGGCCATGGCTGAGGACAGATTTCTCTAGTTGGGAGGGAGACAGGATTATGATAAAACAAAAAACCAGAATATTAACAACTGGCACTCACTTCTCAGAGAGGTAAGGATAAAATGTACTATAGCTATGTAGTTTCAAAATACATTAAAATATTTTTAACATATATTGTTTTTACCTTCGATTGAGTTAAATTCATATTACTGTGTTTTTCCAAAACGTGAATTTCATGAGCCAACATGTCAGCAACATATATGAACCTTACAGAAAGGACACACTAGTTAGAGACCCATGCCAACATAAAGTTTCATTACTATCCTATATACAAATATGTCTTAACCACCAGCCAAGAAGTTAATCAACAATGGGCCTTCAATGAATGCTTGATAAAGGTCAATATTTATTGAAAAGGTAAGATTTTAAAATCAATTCAGTGTTGTGACAATAGCCATGAGGTTGCCCAATTATTTTTAAATGGTTTTTAAAGAATATTATTATAACATTTTTAATATAATGTTCGTTATATGTACCACCGAAAGGACAATGAGACACTATGTTTTGGCTTCATGAGAAAAGTTCCTACATTCCACACTATGGTTTGATATTCCTTTACATGTAAAAATATATGTACAAAGCTTATTAGACTATTCATATACTAAAATTTTTAAGAGTAAGAGATAAGTATCTCTTTAGAACAATCTGTCTGCATCTGGGAGGAGAGAAAGGGCTATTTGAAGCTAATTTTACTTGTTGGCTTGGTTTTTTATAAGCTTGTCTGAGCAATTACCATGTGTAAAGCTGTGAGCTCCACATTGTGAAAGACAAAAACACGAGCCAGACAGCCTCAGTCCTGAAAAGTTTTGCTGTGTATTGGGAAGAAAAGACTGGTTTTGTACACATGAAAACCACAGGCTCATACACATTAAATATCGCCTGATTGGTACCATAAGAAGTATTTAAGGTCATGAAACTGAAGCACCGTCTGTCTTGAGAGCAAGACAGGCACACAAAAGAGGAAGCGGTTGCATCGAACATGGAAAGAGGCTGGATTGGAAGGTTACAAGGTTGAGGCAGCTTACAGGCAGAGGAAAACACGCGCACAAAGACAGTGGCAAGAACAAGGGAGGCATGTTTGTGAAATAAAGAGTTCTTTGTCTGAAGCTTGGAAAGTATGGGAACAGTTGAAACGGGAGGAGGGGGCAGGGGGTAGGTGCTGGAGCGAGCGAGCCTGTTACAAGGTCGACATCTTTCGTCTGCCTTAATCTGATTAGCAACTGGATTCCACTGAATGTGTAGAATAAGGAAATGGCATAACAAATGGTTCTGTCCAACAATTACTGAGCATGTGCTAATGTGTGGCCTGGGGCTCAGTCTGAGAAGCCCCAAATGAGACCATAGAGCATCCTCTGTGGAGCTCTGAAAGGCCAGTGGGAGATAAAAAGGCAAAATTGGCAATGGTGCAGAAAATGGGAGTGGCCTGAGAACACCTGAGAGAAGAGTTTCATACTCTAATCAGAGAGGATGCACATCTCAACAAGGCGGATGCCAATGGGAAAGGAAGCAGGGAGGAGAGCGGGAGGAAGAGCCAGAGGTACTCTGGCTCGCTCACTAGTTGAACAAGGCTATGGCAGAGAAGGAGTCAAAGCTGAGTCTGGTCGTTATTTGTATATGATGATTAGTATTATTATAGTTTGCATGACTAGGAAGTCTGAATCTCATAGAGAAGTATGAGAAATGACAAGAACAGGATTACCTGGGCAGGTTGGGCCAGTTTGCTAAGAGATGATTCAAATGATTCTATCTAAGGGGATATTAGTTGTGAGGGCTGTCAAGTTTATTTTGTTCTAGTTTTTAGTAGTTTACATTGCTCTCTAGGCACTAATCTAATAGAAGAGAAAGCTTGCAAAGAATTTAATAACATTTCTCACAGGCTGTGGTTGGGCATGCAAAAGTAGTGAGATGATTTGGGTAGGCATTTTGGCAATGTCTATTAAACTGACATTTAAAGAGTTCATACTGCAGTTCAAACTAGTAGTTCTCTTTCTTTCTTTCTTTGTTCTACAGAAGTGAAAAGAAGTGGGACTACTAATGTTGTATTTAGCTAGTGTCCTGGCTGGGATTTGAACCTGCCTAACTCCATATTCTACTGACTTAACCATTATGCTGGCGCTGTAATGCTTCCTTGGGAATTTCTTCCTAACAAGATAGTTGGACAAGTTTTAGCACTAAATGAGAACTATACAGTTGTTTAGAAACAAACAAAAAACCAAAATGTAAATCATCTGTGTATCCATCAAAAGGAAATTGGTTACATTTTATTTTCCTTATAGAATAATATGTAGGCAATAAAATGTTTATTTAAAAGGAAAGACCTATCTGAATTTCACATAGGCATATATTGGTGTTGCACCATTATGTAAATAGTTACATTTATAAAATTAAGTTCTACAATGATATATACTAAAATGTAACCACTGCGTGCATGTATTCACGTTGATGCTTTATGCCTTTATGTGATTTCAGTCTCTGCATTTCTTTCACAGGCCCCGGTGGCACAGTGGTTACATGTTTGGCTGCTAACTTCAAGGTCCAAAGTTCAAACCACCAGCCAGTCTGTGGGAGAAAGATAGAACCTGCTACTACCCCCAACAGTCAAAGTCTTGGAAACTCACAGGGGCAATTCTACCCTATGCTATAGAGTCACTATGAGTCAGAGTTGGCATGGACTGGATGGCAGTGAGTTTAGTTTGGATCTTTTTGGCATTTTTTTTACAATAGGAGAATTTTCAAGGAAGGTATTTCCATACTGGAAAATAAAGGGAATAAAAAAGCACTTGGCCCACCACCAGGACAGGGGAACATTAAGCATATTTCTGTAAGGTTCATACTTCTCATTAGGTGAAATACTGATTCCATTTGCTGTATCAAATCCTTCTGCTACTACTTTAACTTCATCTGGACTGTAGTAGACAACATTTGCCCAGTGTAAATTGAAGTATGTTTCCAAATACTTTAAGGAAGTATCAGAGAAATAGTGATCATTGGTAGCATAGAAATGTGCAGGTCCAACAGCTACGATGTCATTCACACTGGAAAAGAAAAATAACATGCATGAAATATTTTTTGGGAAGATTAGCTTACATCGCATGGCTACAGTCAAATGCAATAGACTATACAATAATATTAACAGTGTGTGGGGGGGGCTTTAAAGAGTTTGTGGGAAAATAGAATGAAAAGATCATGAAATTTTGAAGAACCCTCTCCCCTGACCCATATTGTTTGCCAGAGAGCAATTCTGTCTTATATCAGGTCATTTGAACATGGGCCATTTAGTAGGATTCTTCCCCCAAAAGGCTTGGTGCTAGCAGAGTAGGTTTTTTCATGGCAAGCACTGGCAGCATTTAAGAGCAGTCCATAGGGACAGAGCTTTCCATGCTATACAGATAAACAGAATCTGGTTGGCCAGTGTGCTGGTCAGGCAATCAGTATCATTTATCTAGCTGCCATTGACTCAGTTGCTGGGCTTTCTTGAGTCCCATTGCCTAGTTATCAGTCAAACTAAGCTTGGCGGCTCAATTTCTGCCTGGCTCACAAAGCGGACCCACCGAGAAGGAGCAGGCACTCGATAAACACCAGTTGGGAGATGGATGGTGAACTTGCCATCATACAATGCTCCAGGTGAGAGTTTTCTACACTAAAAACAAGTCCATCTTGAACAACAGTTAGGCAAGAGTGTTATTAAATTTAAATTGCAATGACCCTATGCAGAAATTTCTAAAAGAGAGGCTTTATCTTTTGTTAAATGAAAAAGAACAGTGCCACAGGGGCGATGAGTCTCTTCTTTCTGAAAGAGAACCATGATGCCTGACTGGTCTTTATGCTCCTATTTATTAGGAAGCGCAGTTATGGAAGAATGATCAGAAGATGCATGTATGAACCCTAGGTAGTTTAAAATAAAAGAAGCATTAGTCTAATGCACGTTGGGCTCCAGGGGTACATAAGAGTCTTTCAGCCATGTTATCAATGAGCTTTCTATTCTTGTAGTGGTGACCCACTTCCAACTCTAATCCCTCCAATTGTGTTGGCCCGTTGCCCCCACTAACCCTGAAAGTGAAAGCCCCCTACATTCCCCATAAAGCAGACCACTCTTCTTCAGCTGAACAGGTATTATTATTTTGATGATAGAAGGTAGCAGAATCAGAAGGGGGGAAATGAAGTATGTCGTCTATACTCCAGATGAACCCAAGAGAACCTTATCTGGAGTCCTGCAGCCCACTGCGTCTCTAGGGAGTTCACCCAGAGCACTCATGATAATAATGGCCGAACTCAGCTCTCATGTGCACGTTCTCCCTGCTCTAAAAGGAAAGGATCATTTGGTTCTTATAAAAGTTGTGAGCACCATCATAGGAGGGTATTTGTAAATGCAAGGGATACATTGGAGACTACACAAATGGTATAAGGACCTTGGAAAGAGCTCATGGCTGATAGTTTTTATATGCAAAAGAGAATTTTCTTCTTCTTCGTATTTAAAAATTTCCACTGTATTCTTGAGTTCCGGGTGGTTGACAACAAAGAGGTAAATGGTGTCATCTGAAAAAGAACAAACATTGGCAGGAACAGAGTTACTTCACAAGATAGACGCCAAGGCCCTGTGGGCAGACACTGCCATGTGCATACCACCAGCAAGGAAAGGCTGAATGTATGCGCGGTTACACAACCGAACGCATCAGTCTCTTCCCGTCTTCCCATCACTGTCTATCTGGCGTTACTTCTGGTCATTGGTCCCCTGACCTTTAAACTTTCAACTCCATCGACTTCATGAATAATCTGTTTGTAGTTTAATCAAGAAATATAGCCCCCTTTTAGTGTTTTGATCACAGGTACAGCAAAAGGTTACGAAAATAGACCATCCTTCAGGTATGAACTGTTAGAAATTTCAAAATGTAGCATACTACTGGCTGAAGAGGCAAACAACTTGTTTGAAGAAAAAAGAAATAATTCATGAGCTAATTGTTCTTCTCTTCCAATCAATATGATCGAAATCTCTTTTCCAGTCATTTGTAAACTGTTATCAATTTCTCAAAGTGTGCAGTTCATCTGCTCTTACCGTTATCGATAAAAGTGCTGATGCCATGTGGATTAAATGAAGCCAAATTAAATCCACGGCTGATTCTTAATTCCAAAGCCCTGGGTTTTTGCTCTTTTAGATCCATCATTAGTATTCCTCCAGGCCTCTCCAGTTCAAAGCTGTGCAGTCCTGGTAATTTTAGACCCTTTTTGCAAAACAGAAGAAAAAAGCCAAATAGAAATGGTCTAAATATTTTAATGAATTAATATGAAACTATCAATAAATGATAAGTAGAGACTGTGGTTAATGATGGCCGCATGAAGCCACAGGACAACAGAGAAGAGGCACTGGAAACACACTGGGAGTTGAAAGGTTAATAGTATACCCGATTCTGCTGAGTTGGGTGCAGAAGATGGCATTTATTCTCTCCAGAAAAGCAAACAGGAAGTTGGTAGCCAATAATACGCCAGCGGAGAGTTGAGAGTGTGGAGAAATTAAGGTTTCCATAGGGTTGGTTACATAGTCTTTGTAACCCTTAAGCCCAGGACCTGAAATTTGCTCACAAAATGCCAGAAACCATGTGAGATAGTTTATTGTGGCAGCCTGGCCCATAAACACAGGTGGGGTTAACTGAAGGGCGGAGAGATAAATAGCTCGGTGAGCCACACCTTTCTTGTCTCTCGCTCTTTGATCATCGGACCAGTGTGTGGCTGCCTTGCTTGTTCTGTGCCTCAATTTACAGGCTACACTACCTGTGGGACGCCTAGCCTGTGGACTGTGTCGCTGTAAGTTGAGGTCCCTTTAAGACCACACGATTGAAATTTACATCTCTTGAGCTGGGGACTGGGAGTTAGTGACCTGCCTGACAGTTGGTGACCTGCCTGGCTGTTTTGCTGCCTGTGATGGGAAAGCCTAGCTAGCTCTCTCTCTGCAGAGGACTACCGGGCGGCCCTGAAGACTTGAAGGGCTGCCAGTGTCTCACAAGTCTCTCATGGGAGTGAGTTGCACTGAGTCATTTGTACTGCTTTATAATTTAACTGTTCATTTCTTGTATTATAGATCTATCTATCTGTTTATAATTTAACAGTTCACTTCTTGTGTCACATATCTATATCTGTTTATAATTTAACAGTTCATTTCTTGTGCTATATAGATCTCTTTATATATATAGATATATATATATATCAGCAATCTGGTTTTCTCTCTCTAGAAAACCGTGTCTAACACACCGTGTTCAACAGAGTCTATGTCAGGAGTCCATTCCTCCTTTCACAGCCATCTGAAACTCTTGCGGACTTGACCTTGAAAACACACCCACTGATGAGGAGGTGAACATTTCTCACTCTTCCACCACGATGGTCCTGACCCAAACCTCCATTCCTTATGACATCAGCTGCCTCCTCGGTGGTCTTTCTCTCCGTAACTCCTCTAGCCTTTTCCCAAGTCGGCATCCTAATTACAGCAGGTGATATGACTCAAAACTTCCTTATGGCTCCCCAACTCATTCCGATCAAAAGAGAAAACTCTTAAAATGACCTGACTGTCCTCTATGGTCTACCTTTCTCAGCCTCTACCACTTTCTCACCCCTAAACACCGCACCTCTCTGTACTCATCTCTACTACTATTCTTCTTATGTCAGTTATTCTCTTCAACCCAACCTAATAGATAAACCACAGACTTTCGTACACACGGTTCCCTCTGCCCATGAATCCTTTCCCCCAGAGATCTAGGGCTCCCTCCCTCAAGTTCTTCACATTTGGGCTCAGTGAGGCCATCCACAACCCAAACATTCCCTTCTGGCTTGTTCCCTTTCCTCTCTGTCTTTATCACCACAGAGCATGTCTATGTCTTTACACATATAGACATACTGTAAACCTATGAGCCCAAGAGCAGCCACGGACAGGTGAGTGAGCAAATGACTGTTGTCCTTGGAGCACAGCAGGCTCACCTCCTCCTCCTCCAAGCTTTTGTACTTCTCTTCTTCCTATCTGTGAATCTCTCCACTCAATTCTACACCACTCACATTTTTGGTACCAGTTGATCTGATCAACTGTCACTCTTCAAGGAGACCCCTCTGAAGTGGCAAAGTGACTCTACCCTCACTACCATCATTCTTTACTGTTTTCTAAAAGCATTTATACCATGTAAGATATGCACATCTGTTCATCCTTTGTCTCTCTCTTATAGAGCTTGGATTTTTGTGTCTTTTATTGTTGATATGGGTGCTTAGACAGGAGCCCAGGTAGTGTTGTGGTAAAGCAGTGGGCTGTGACCCACATGGTCACCAGTTCAAAACCACCAGTTCCTCAGGAGAAAGACTGGGCTTTCTACTGCCATGAACAGTTACAGTCTTGGAAACTCACAGGGGGTCACTATGAGTCTTGATGGCAGTCTGGTTTGGGTATAGGTACTTGGCACAGTGCCTGGTATCAAGTTCATTTCTATTCCCCTAAATCACCTTTGTCAAATTGGTCTGTCTGCAGACTCTAATTTGTTCTACCAAAGGGTCATGCCAAGTCCTGTACCAAAATATATCACTTTTCAAATTACTGTGGTATTTTAGTCCATCCTGATATACAGAGGAACAAGTCCCACATATTTGTTGCTTTAACATTTTCAAAATAGTCTTAGCTATTTCTGTTCACTTATTCTCTCTAAATGTTAGAAATTAAGTAGATAATCTGAATGAAAAGTCACAGCTATTATTATTGCATTTTTCTAGCTAATTTTCACTAGTGCCTAGGAGAGTCATTGAATTTTATATGTTCACTTCAAATCTAACCATTTCACTGGACTTTCCGCTTAGTTCTCCAGATTAGTCTCTTTTAAAAGGAGGTATTTACATGGTCTGAAATAAATGACAGTTTAATCTTATTTTCCAATTAATTTCTTTTTTATTGGACCGATAGTTATGGCATTATAAATCATTTTCTTCTTAAGCTTAGGGGAAAGGCATGAAATGTTTCACCATTGAGGATGGCATTTGCTGTAGGTTTCAGGGAAGTTTCCTTTTAGTGCTAGTTTGCTTGGCGTTTTCATTGAAGAAGGAGTGTTGGGTTTTATTTAGTACGTTTTTAGCACTCACTGGGATGAGTGCTTTTTATAAATCAATTAGCAGATTACATATATTTTTATGCAGATTCACTCTTATGATGTTAGGTAAACTCTTCTTGGTGATACTGTGCTTATTTTGTTTTGTTTAAAATACATGACCTTACTTAATTAACACAATGTAATTAAATTCATGCAAATTGTTAAAAGTATGTACACATCCTAAGTTTCAGATTATACACCAAATTGAACATAATAAAAATTCCCTTAAAACTAAGAAAAAAACAAACTAACCCAAAAGCTATCAACATTGAAATAATATCAATACTGACAGGCCCAGTGTGGTAGTTACATAATCTGGTGTCAATTTGGGACTTCAAGGATTAAGAGTGAAAGGATGAAGTCTAGTCTGTCAATCAGGATATAGCCAATGAGGTCTCTGTGTGGGCATGGCCTTCCCCTGAGGATTCTGGGAATTCCCATATTTCCTCCTTGGAGGCGGGAGACACCCTCTCTCTCGGCTCACTCTCTGAGAGGCGCTCTACTGACAAGACACATGGCACTATGCTGACAGACCTGATGCCCTGAGAACTAGAGAAGCCACAT